GACCACTCGACACGACCAGTGAGAGTTAAGGCGCAGGACCGACGGTTTTACGTGCTCACCGAGGCACGGGGGTGCAACACCGTCAACTTTCCAACTCCGGACTGTTACTGAGGATTACTATACAGAAAGACTAAATAAGTAAACTTGGCCCTACCCGGGACTCGAACCCAGAACCTCCGGGTATGTAGCCGTACATGCTAGCCACTACACCACCGAGGCAATTAACTGTTAAATGTACAAGAAAGTTCAAAAGTAACTTAGTTTTCAATCATATAGTTTAAAACTTTTGTTTAGAAAATTATTTCATCTTTACTTTTAAATTTGTTATACAATACAAAAATATGTACAATTTTTATTATAGATTATACATCTCATTTTGCCCATTTACGGGACTAGACGGGTTTGTTGCCAAACCTTGCATACCTAAAGTGACAGACAATCGGCAAAGCATACTAAATTATTTGGTCATTTTATTGACTCTTGAGTGGGTTGGCATGATTAAAACAAGTAGTTTTAAAAAACATGTTTAAAACACGTTTTAAAACAGTTTGAAATAAAATCAATTTTTTTATTAATTGTTTAAAAACACAGTTTAAAACAAGCTTTAAACAATGTTAAAAACATTAACACCTCCAGGTAAATTTCTAAGAAATTAATTAAAATTCAAAGAGATCTAATACATTTCTTAGAATTTTAATTAATTTCTTAGAAATTTACCTGGAGGTAATAACGATTGATCGATTTTTATAAATATTTACTAAGTAGTCTAGAAATGAATAGATTAGGTTTACTTGATTTTAAATTGAGGACAAAAATTAAAAAGTAACAAAACATAAAAAAAAAACAAAAAAAAACACTAGCTTAAAACATTTGAACTGTTTGTTTTATGAAAATTAAAAAAAAGTGTTTTTTTTCCAACCCTGGCTCTGACTAAATAATTACTTACAATAATTTAGGAACTTAGTTATTAATAGTAATAAGGTTTTATTTTTTAAAAGGGCTTGACCAAAAAACCCACCATAGAATGAATTCTTAGATTTACGCGAAATATTTATGTAACTTACATATCCACACTTTGAGTTGATTTTCTTTTCAAATTTATTACAAGACCCTTGAAATACACCCAATTAATTACAAAATTATGATGAAAATCGGTGAAAATTTATGAAAATATCGTATAACATAGACCTCGTCTTTTTAGAAGTCGGGAAATATATTCAATACACGTTTTACAATTTTTGGCCTTGTTACGAAATAACATAAATAATGTTTTAATGTAACAAAAACTTATTCACCCAATAGATAATAGATATTTTCCAAGAATTAAGAAGAACAAAGCCTGTTAATTAAGGATTTCGTTGTTATACAACGTGCTTCTGACTCCATTCTACATTGTTTATTTAGCTTGCTTGATAAAAATGTAATAGTAAGCATAATAATAAAATTTAAACCTCTATTATTCAAAAAAGCTATTTTATATTGAACTCTTTATCATAGTTAAAAAAAATATTACATCCAGCTTTTTGTCTTTTTGTAATACATAATAACACTAGCATTGCCCGCGGCTCCGCCCGCGTGCAGATGACCAAAAACCAAATGCTAAGATTTTACATATTAGTATACTCTTGCAATGCGGTTTTTGTATTTTTTCTCAGAAATGAGACATTTTCCCGCCGTAAAAAGTATCATATATGCTGACCCGGATAAACAGCTATCACCATACCAAATTTCATCAAAATCCCTCCAGTGGCTTTTCTGTGATGCGGTAACAGACAGACAGACGGACAGACAGACAAACAAAAATTCTAAAAACTATAGATTCGTCCTCTGCATCCATAATAATATTTGTTTCAATAAGATTTTCCAAAAAATATCTAATGTACAGATTCGGCTTTGTGACAATTTTATTATATGTAGGTATAGATAATCTAGGTTTTAGTGGGTAGAACTGGCTTTTCTAGCCAGTGAGTCCCACGTAGTCACCTGTATGTATGCAAGTAATATGCGCAAGTAATATTCGGTTAAACACACACATCGCTATAAAACTTCTCTAATCAAATTAATAATTACAACTTAACACCTCCAGGTAAATTTCTAAGAAATTAATTAAATTTCTAAGAAATCTATTGTTGACTGTAACGCCGGCGTGTCCGCGGTCGTTGAGGGATTAACACTTTTAATAAAAAATGATGGATTTCAGATATGTACTAGAATATATTAATTACGAGCAACGATATTTTTTTTTGCGCGGAACCCTGATACAATTTTTCTTTATAACATCAGCTATTTGCCAGTGAAATACCGTCAAAATCGGTCCAATCGATTCGGAGATTAGCCGGAACTCACACACTTATTAGTACTGTATATACATATATACTTTCATATGCATTTAGTAAAAATCTGTAATAAATAAATTATTATATATAATTATCTATACAGTTAAATATATAGTACTAGCAGAACTGCTGGCTTCGCTCGCGATAAAATTACAAAAAAATCTCTAAAAAGATAGTTTCATACAAATTTTCATCCCCAATTTTACCCCCTTATAGGATGAATTTAGAAAAATGCTAAAACATTTATTTAATTTTATTGAAGAGCATTAATACCAAGTTTCAAGTAATTCTGATCATAAATATTTTTTGGGTCGTATTATATCGTGTTTTCCAGTGGGAATTAAACAATATCCCGCGATAAATTATTAAGCTATGTCACTCTCCAGCCCTCCAACTATCTCCATACAAAAATCACGCCAATCCGTCACTCCGTTTCGACGAGAAAGAAGGAAAAACAAACAAACACTCTTTCACATTTATAATATTCTTCTGGATATGGATAACACAACTTTTAGAAAAAAGAATTGTGCGACAATCAATCGAATGTAATTTACGAGTATGAATAAGTTAACGAACACGTCACAATATGCATTTTTTCTTGCTTATAGCATAATGTCAAGAGCGTGAGAAGCAACACACGGTGGTTACCCATCGATTCCACGATCCTATATAATCAGATATAATCATAGAATATATTCTTGGAAAGATTTTATTGTTTAATGAAATAATCTAGAATATTCTTAGAGCCATTACAGCTTGTTTAAATGCGATTTAAAATATTATAACTTAAATAGAAAATTATTTCAAACCTCTTCGTTTGTATGTTGGCAGCTTTGTTAAATGTTAGTGAAAAAATATAAGCCTTCTATATTTCATTGATAATATAATATATTAATACTTTTTGATAGGTAAAGATGCAGATGCCCAAACATTTCAAAATAGCTACTGGTTCCGCATGCGCAGCCATATTTGGTGTCCTTTTTGGATGGGTCATATTCCCTATGATATTGAAAAGTCAATTGAAAAAGGTAAGTTTGGATTTCTATTTATTATAATAATATAAATATTAATTAAAAAAATATAAGTTTTTAAGCATTAATTTTAATAAATAGGTGGGTTTTTAAATAATATTGTTCAGTAATTTCATTAATAAAATTGAATGAGATACTATCGCTCTGTACGGGCTTTGGCGGTATTTATTTCATTTAAGAACCAAAAAATGTTATCCACGCATATATTGCCACCTCATTTTGCTCCTTAGAAGTTGGATCAAACCCTTTTCTAGCTATTATATTTTATTATATGTTATCATAGCAAAATACTATAAAAATAAATTAGCGCTCTAAGTCCCGCGGTTTACTATTTCAAGGCAAGGACGAACATAGCTTTAATCTTAAATGTTAACTTTTCTACTCCTCTTTCGTCTTACCAGGTGAAAGGGAGAGCCTAAGGACTTTTCATATCGTAATTTTATGTTAAATAGAATATAATTGTGCTAACAATACAAAAGCACAAAACAAAAATGTAGCTTTTAAGGTAGATAAGCCCATAAATCCCTAAGAAAAACCTCTTTATCCGAACATATGCCAAGCTTATATAAACCTACATGTACATATGTATTATACTCGTATGAAAATAAAGCTAAAGATTTTGTTATTGTATTAGAAAATGAAAATTACCAATCAATTATTTTTTACTTTTTAGTGATTTTTTTTGAAGTCGGTTTTTATTTTATTTTTTGTTAAAAAGTTTTTATTTTTTCTTCTCTCTGCGTAAATTGAACCCAGGGAATAAATTATGTTGGTGCAAAGGGCTCATTTTGGTTAACATTTGACCACAGACTATTTAAACTAAAATGCGCTAACAGCAATTAGTGACTTCAATGAAAATAGAGAAACAGTTCAGATCTATCAACTGCGTAAAACCAAGCTTTGATTCAAAACAGATATCGTTCCAACATTCCTTTGAGCTTTTCAATGTGAACTTGAGTACTTTAGTTTGTTTAATTAAAAGTCTTTTAAAAGATATGTCAATCTGTATATATTTATAATATAAATGTAAAGTAAAGTAGATTCGGTAAGTATATATGATAACTGAGAAACCCTAAGGGATCGCAAAAGTTAAGCAACGTCATAAACAATACAAACTTTGATGGGTGTCCGTTTATTGGACTGAAAATTAGTGTAACTTCTAGAAATTTTATATGTAGTGATATAGATATATACAGTAGATAGACATTTTAACAACTTATAAAGTATTTTATAGCATTGTATGTTTATATTAATGTCACTTGATACTGTATCAATTATTAAGTATCAACTTAGAGGCAAAACTCAATTAAATAGGCAATCGCTCCATTTTACATATCGTTGACAGTTAGTATTATTAAACAAATTAATATTTTTATTTTTTATTATTGTGACCATAGTTCTACCATGACAATCTTGACCTCTATCTACCACTGAAATGCTATTGATTGATTTTTTAGGAACTAATATTTCTTTCTACACTCGCTACACCGATATTTAAAAAGTATATATAAATGCTTTTTCTTTCCACGTGACATATTTATTTTATACACATTATGTAATTGTAACTTTGAGATCTACAGTACGAGTACCATACATAAAAATATTTAAACTCTCACCCATCTATTTATAGGAAATGGCCCTATCAAAAAAGACCGATATTCGTCAAATGTGGCAAAAAATCCCATTCGCACTCGACTTCAAGGTGTATCTTTTTAACTACACTAATGCTGACGAGGTTCAAAAAGGAGCTTTACCTATTGTGAAGGAAGTTGGACCTTATTATTTCGAGTAAGTATGTATTGTAACATGAGTTTTCAGGTAAACTTGAAAATTTTGTGACTAAAGCTTGTCTTTAGTTATCTTGTACCTAAGAGGTTTTAAGTGGTAAGCTAAAGCTCAGCTATCCTGTTTAAATAGAAAATTATATATATCGAAAACATCAAAAATAAATCTTGCGCCCTCAAATTGTCAAAAGTCTCAAAGTATTTATACGTAAATTATTAGTCCTTTAGTTTCTAACTTATTTAGATCATATTTTGACATAAATGAGATAAAAATATAAAAAATGTCTATAAAATAAATTTCCTCGTATAAAATATAGCTACAAAGTAATAAAAATATTATAAATGCATGTCACAAGTTTCTTGGGGTGTTGTTTTATGACTTTCAAGTACGCGTATATCGCATCCATCAAATTATATCTCAAAGAAAAATCGATTGCAGATAATTTTAACACAAAATTTTAGTTTTTGTTTTTTTCCTCCGAATAGTAAGAATATTTTACATAACAAGTTCAAGAAAAATATTTATGATAGATTTTGTAACTAACTACTAGATAGATATTTAAAGTAATTATTTTTGAAGTAAAAACTTCTATATGCTGGTTTGGATGGAGAGTAAATTCATGTAAGTCGTCATCGACATGGTCACGTGACGTGTTAACGCTAACACTCAGAGTGCCGATAGATGTCAAAACCAAATAAATGTAAACAGTTTTAATTAACAAATTTTAATTTAAGATCAAACAATTACTTTGAATATCCAAAAATAACAACTGTTTGTTTATAGTTTTATGTTTTCACTTCTGTCGGTAGTGCTCTATAAATAATAAGTCGGAAATATCCATTCACATAGTGGATTTCTCCAGAAAAAAGCTAGTGCTGTAAGTTCACCTTGATAAAGAAACTTGAAGCAAGTTATAATTACGTGAAATACTAAGAGCTTTTAGATGATAGAGTCAAAGGGGCACTTTATTGTAGTTGAATCTAATAATACTTAGACAATATGTTATTTTACAATTGTCGTAGAATAGAAGTTTTAAAAATCGTAATGAAATGACAATTTGAATGTCATACAATCATTATATATCATTTGTATCTATTTTTTAATACTTCTGTTCTTTAACGATTGTAGATTGACAATTGTCTAAACCTTAGGCTCAGTTTGTAGCCTACTTGCTGTGCCAGCGGTCGCGGGTTCGGGTCCCGCTAGGGCATTCATATGTGTAATGAGATCGAATATATGTATTTACTCCAATCATCGGTACTTATATTCATAGTATGTATGTATTAAAAGTTATATATCTATAGTGTATCAACTATCTGGTATCCATAACACAAGCCTCGTAGCTTACCATGGAAATAGGTGGTTATGTGTGTTAATTTCCCAACATATATTTATATTATTCATGTTTCGCATCACAGATTGTATAGTGGACTATAAATGACAAGATATCTTTTTCGTAGAAGTCTGTAATTTTCTAGAATCGATAAAGGAAAAATATTATATAGTGTTAGAATACAACGTGGCCTACTGATTAAAAACTGTAGGGGACGTAATAATAGGTTAATATTTATAGACACTTCTACAATACACATTGTATATATTGTGGTATTTTAAAAGGGACGTTTTATGATTATGATTAATAACTTTTAATTTATTTTCTTTAAATTTAAACGATTTGAATATCGGCAAATGAATTATTTTTTTAATCAATAAATATTTTATGTTAAAAACAAACGTAACACTAAACCTTGACGACACGTTTGGCTCAGTTTGTAGTACTGGCTGTGCCAGCGGTTGCGGGTTCGAGTCCCGCTAGGAGCATTCACTTGTGATGATCACGAATGTTTGTACTCCAGTCATGAGTGTTTCTAATATCTATATATTTAAAATTATACATGTATAGTGTATCAACTATCTGGTATCCATTACACAAGCCTCGTAGCTTACCAGGGAACTAGATGGTGCTGTGAATTAATGTCCCAACATATTAAAAAAAATCATAATCCTCAGTCACAAAATCACTATATAAACAAAAACATCAATGATTCATCTATACATCTATCTATACAGAAAAATAAAATTAAAGTGTCTGTAATGTCAAAATAACAGCGTTTTACTAAATGCATATGATATTATATACGGTACTTATAATAAAAACACAGTTTTTTAAATTTTTGTCTGTCTGTCTGTTTGTTCCGAATAGTGTCTGAAATGGCTGGGCTGTTTTTGACGGGACTTTCACTGGAAGATAACTGATGTTATAGGGAGTAATATAGGCTACTTTTATTTTAGAAAAAGAATTAGGGTTCAGTTCAAAAAAAATAAAACGTACCCGTACCGTACGTACCTAGGGACGAACCCGAGCGAAGCGAGGTTGAATCCCTAGTGTAATTTAAAAAAAGTAGTAAAGCTACATTTAGAGTAAAGGGTATGATAATGATGCTTTAATTCCTCCACGACCGCAGAGACGCCGTCATGTCAGTTAACAATAGATTTCTTAGAATTCTAATTAATTTCTTATAAATTTACCTGGAGGTGTTAAGCGCAGGTTTTTACTTATTTTACGAATAAGTGTGTTTATTTATCTCATAGTTTTACGTATTTTTAAGTAGTGCACATAATGTTTAAAATGCATGATAAGTTAGAGTTATGTATAGGATAATGAACTAAATAAGCTAAGTTGTAGAAACAATTCCTGTTTTATATTATGTAATCTACTAAGAAATAGCTTCTAATGGTGTAATATTCTGTTAAATTAACTGTAAAATATTCTATGCTTATATTTTATATGTGGATAACATTTATTTTTCGTGGTATTTCATCATTATTTTGATAGTTTCTCGGTCACAAATACTTTTTATACGTACAACATTCTCCCTTTATGTAAATCAAACTCACGGACTCCGCTACACTCTGTTCCACACAAGTTGCTACATCGCAATTTTTAATATTTAATGAACAATAAAAATAGTAAATTAATAGATGTTAGGCTAATGGATATACAATAACTGTAAATTTTAAACATAACCTCGAAATTAATCAATTGGTCCATAACAGAGAGTGGAAAGAAAAAGTGGAAGTTGAAGATCAAGATGACACAGATACAATTAACTACAAAAAGCTAGATAAATTCTACTTCAAGAAAGAGTTATCAGGATCGGGCTTAACTGGAGAAGAAGTAATAGTTATGCCCAATGCATTCATGCTCGTAAGTTGTTCTGTTTTTTAAACTCTTAATACTATTTTTATTATAATACTAGTGACTCACCCTTGCTTCGCTCGGGTTCGTCCCTAGCTTGCTTCCCAATACAAACTTTCATCCCCATTTTCACCTCCTTAAGGAATGTCCTGTATGCTATGTCCTTCCCAGGGTCTCAAACTATTTTCTTACCAAATTTCATTTAAATCGGTTCAGTAGATCCAGAGATTACCCCTACAACCTCACAAACTCACAAACTTTACTTCTTTATAATATTAGTATAGATTTATATAACTTAACATTTTTTTAACTTATTTTATTAAGAAATATTTTATATACTCTTTAGAATTTTCTTTTTACAAAAAAAATCAAATTACCTACAATTTTTATTAGTTGATAACTTAATAAAGAAGGAGATAACGAAAAAACATAAAAATGAGAAAATACGTTAATGGATATTAACAGTTATGCAATGACAACTTACATAGTAAGCCATGTTATTCTAAGATCTATATGTATTTAAAAAATATAAATATTTATTGCAGGGTATTGTTACAATTATAAATCGGGAGAAACCAGCAATGCTCAACATGATTGGGAAAGCTATAAATGGCATATTTGATAATCCTACAGATGTGTTCATTAGAGTCAAAGTTTTAGATCTATTATTTCGAGGGGTTGTTATAAATTGTGCTAGAACTGAGTTCGCTCCTAAAGCAGTATGTACAGCTTTGAAGAAAGAAGCTGCAGATTCATTGATTTTTGAACCCAACAACCAATATAGATTTTCTTTATTTGGGATGGTGAGTCTACTTTTCAGGTATAATTATTGTTTTAAAAAGATAAATTATTATTTATGAAAAAAATATGTTATATTTGTTGTCTTTGTTTGATTATTGGCATATTTAAATTATTTAACAATTGTTAAATTAATTAATTTTATTTTATTTATTCAACAAAGAGTAATTGATTTCTTTCTAATCAAAATTAAATATTAGGTAAAAAGTTATAAAATTATAAATATTTAAGTCAAAATCGAGCTTTTATATTTTAATTAGAAAATAATGGAAAAAACTTTTATAATGTAACCAGCGTAACGCGACCGTGGATAAGCATATGATAACTGTGAGACGTGGTATAAAAAATGTAATGGATGTTGGTAAAGTAGTGGCAATCGATGGTAAAATGGAGCAAGAAATTTGGAAAGACAAATGTAACGAATTCGAGGGAACAGATGGAACTGTATTTCCACCATTTTTGACTGAATTTGATAATCTAGAGTCATTTTCTGGTGATTTATGCAGGTAATAATAAATAGTTTATAAACTATTGCAAAATAAAAAATATTTATATGTAAATATTTCTATATCACATTCAGACTAATTAGAGACAGCGTAGTGGGTAATTTTAGTATACTAGTTACCATTTGTTTTCGTCTAGAACCTTCAAACCGTGGTACCAAAAGAAGACATCCTACAAAGGTATCAAAACTAACCGGTATATCGCCAACATTGGGGATCTCGCCAACGATCCCGAACTCCAATGTTACTGCGAGTCTCCAGATAAATGTCCGCCCAATGGCTTAATGGACTTGACCAAATGTATAGGTGCACCTATGTATGTGTCATTGCCACATTTCTACGACAGTGACCCACAGCTCCTACAAAATGTTAAAGGGCTAAATCCAGATGTAAAAGAACATGAAATTACTATTGATTTTGAACCGGTGAGTCGATGAATCTAAATGATGTATACCAAAATATTTTATTTTACTATTTAATAATGCATAAATAATACGAGTAAATTTATTTCAAAACGTCGGGAACCAAAAATCAAACTAAACCCGCGAAAAAATAACTTTTTAAAAAAATGCATGAATAACGTTAAAATATCATAAGCATGAGCCTTGTAGTAACACAGAACACTTTTACTCAGGAAAGTAGTAATGCGTTGCTTGGACAAACAAGTGATACGAGTTCAAATCCTGGCTCTCGCACCTCTGATATTTTCATGTACTTAATTTTAGTTAACACTTTCGCAAATTGACAAAAGCCATATCAGCCACTGTACAGGTACTACGAGTATATTTTTTGAATTTTCTTTTCAGATTACTGGCACTCCAATGGAAGCAAAACAAAGAGTACAGTTTAATATGCAGCTGATAAAAGTTGAGAAATTGGAATTATGCAAAGATCTACCTGACGTTATAGCGCCTTTGTTTTGGATAGAAGAAGTAATCAATTTTATATTCCGTCCTGGATATTTCCAGAAGCACTATTTATGCTAAAATTAAATTAAAAAATATATAAATTTAATGGTTAATTTTTAAATTATCAGACAAAAGCTTTTTGGTAAAAATTGTTCTATTGGCATGTCCGAAATAATAATTATTACTGTAGAGACCCACCAGCTGCCATTTAGTTTTTTTGTAATACCTTTGAATTATTTCCATGATACACACTAAAGATAAATAATAAGACTTTAAGCCGAGTTAGTTTAATTCATTTCTTAAGTCAGAAGATTTCCAAAGTCCCTTTAATAGAACTCGTTATTTTTGTTTCCAACCTTTATAAAGTGATTTACTGATATCATTAAGATAATATCGTACAAACCCTTAACCTTAATTTTTACAAATGTTGAATTTGTAAAAACTATGGTTAACGGTGAGTTCTATGGTAAAGATGGGTTACATATCTATACATAAAATAAATTTGTAGAGGTTGAATGTCTATACATAGAAAAAAATGCTAAAAACCTTCATTTTTTTTGTTTCTCTGTTTGTCTGTTTGTACGGGCTAATCTCCGAAACTGTAGGGCCGATTTAAATGATTTTTTTCCATGGTGGTACCTTATATCCCCGTCAACACTTTAGATACTTTTCATTTCGGAAAACTAAAGAGTTCTCGTGGCATAGTTAAAAACTATAGTAGCTTATACAGCTTAGTACACAAAAACTACTGATTGGATTTTAATGAAACTTTACAATAATATAGTACATACATCAGAATAACAAATAAGCTACTTTTTATTCCGGAAAAATGTACGGTTCCTGTGGGATAGATTTGTTTTTGTTCGTCTAGAGGCGAACCCAAACGTAACGAGGGTGAGCCGCTAGTAAATAATATAAGCGTGAAGTTAGGAAGCTAGTTACACCCCCATGCCTTAGAGTGCACGTAAAGTTGTCTGTTCTTCGCCTGATCTGATTTCACCGGTCGAAGTTTCGTCCCACTGGGATGACAGTATAAAGAATAGAAAGTGCACTTATTAGTAGTAGGGGTAGGGAGGTAAGGGAGTAGGGGCATACATATGCATTATAATGTCTCTTGCGCACTTGGCTAGTCTTACTCGTTTAGACGACATTAATTATTTTTGGAATATATTATTTATTTTGTTTACAGGGTCTTGCTTTAAATAAAACATTTGTGAATATGTTGAAACATCAACTTTTTATACCTAAGCGTATTGTGAGCGTAGTGCGCTGGATGCTGGTGTCATTTGGCTTCTTGGGCTGCCTCCTTTGCTTAGTGTTTCACTTCAAAGGTACTATTCGAGTGGTAAATGTTATATTACATACATATTATAATAGGCGAATATTTTATTTTTATTTTTTAGTAAATAATCTGAAAATATAGTTTTCTGTTAGGTAATAGCTGTTATATACATATCTATTAAGATATTATTACTTTAATAATTAAACAAGATTATTTTTTCTGTGGTTCATTTTATACAATCGACAAAGTAAAAATTTAACTTGACTTGAAAAAAATAGCTTTGAGGGTAAACTAAATATTACATAGTTAAAAATATACTGTCTTAGTGCATGCAATGAGAATATCTAGATGACTAACTATAATGAATGTAGCTTATACTCTTATACATTGTCTGTCTGTTAAGAATAAGACATCTTTTTAGAAATAGTTTAATCTTAGTCTAGTTTAGACTGAAGTAATTTGCTAAATTGTACTACCAGTAAGATGATATAAGGAGAATTATAACAACATTTACGTATATTAATTTGAGAAGTTAAGAAATTTTATGTAATAATAGTAAAAATTTAAAAAATATTTACATGTTACAACATATATTCCTCATTGTCTATCCCACAATTAGTGGGAGAGCCCAAGAGGGGATTTTAGAATTTACGCAAGCGCGGCAGATCAACATAAGAGATCCCTCCTTGCACTCTGTTGAGTACCTCCCCTCCATCATATATAAGTCCTCTGTAAGGTCGCGCAATCAAAGTATTAAAATAATATTTTGATAACTTAAAAATACTTGAAACCATCAGATTAAGTGTGGTGGGCTACATGTTGAAAAGTGTGCAATTTAATAATCTGCCGCTTTCCACAAGCCGAAGAGGCAAAAATCGTCCATATAGTTTATGGTATATTTTTAACAGAATTTAAGGTATCCCCATTATGTTAATCTGACGCGCTTGAGTAAATCCCAAAATCTCCTCTTGGGCTCCCTTACTAAATATAATAACAGTTCATGACCTCCACAAATCTATTCACCAGTCAATGTTTCGTGAAAATTGTCCCACAGAATAATTTCTTAGATTTACGTCCCACATGTTACATTCTATAAGTTTTAGCTCTTCCAAAACATTTTAACGGTTGATTGCTTTGTTATTGAGCAAAGAAAGTCAATTCTTATAAACTTTGTATTAAATTCTATTTGTATAAATATTTTAATATTTTATTTATACACATGCATTATTAATATTTATTTTATAACAGGGCACATAGTTCGCTTCGCAGTAACGCCCGTCTCATCAACCACAAAAGTAAACGCTGAAGCCACGATCAACGAACAAAAAGACATTAGTATTGTTTCACAAGAACCTCCTAAAATAGAGATGTAGAGGTTTTATCGATTTTAATTAATATATTTATATAGTTATATTGTCAGTAATTAATAAAATTTATACACACAAGAGAAAATCTTACGTCCCGCCCAAACGTCAAATATAATCATCGTCATACTTCTCCTGCCTGCCTGGCACCGGCGTAGACGAACAACACAGGTTGTACGTAGGCGCTCGATGTCTTCGACTAAACTAGCGGCGCGTAACAAATTAATATTTCTTAAAGTATTTACATTACATGCACAGGGTATGTAAATTTATTTAAAGGTAAACACTACATACTAATTTAGCTTACAAAATATATAAGTAAATACAAAAGTAAGTTGGTAAAAGCCTGCAAACCCTTATTAATTGAAACAGCTTGAAAATAAATTTTATTAAAATATCATTCTATTCAGCTTTGAACGTTCCACTGCTGGGCACGGGCCTCCCTACAATACGAGGAGGATCAGGCCATAGTCCACCACGCTGGCGAAGTGCGGATTGGTGGACTTCATATGTCTTTCGAGAACTTGTTAGGTTGTCTCAGACATGCAGGTTTCCTCACGATTTTTTTCTTTATCGTAAGGCGATAAATCGACTCTTATTTTCTTTCAGTTTTATAATCTATTGCATAAACATATAAAAAACGTAACGAACTGATACTTTGATATTTTATTATTATTTATGCCTAGAAAATATTTAGATTATAGTATGTACAAGCTAAATAAATGATTTTTAGTCCTTTTTGTCTGCGCACAGATCATGTAAAATAGGTTGTATGAATGTTGTATTTTATAGCTTTTTTAAATCAAAACTTTATTATTAGCACTTTATCAGTAAGTCAGTTAAGCGAATTAATAAATTATAAAAAAATAATTGAAATAATAATTATATATAAATGAAATAAACAAGTAAAAAAAATAAGTATCCCTATATTCATGAATTTCATTGAATCATTTACATTTACACTCATTATATTATTATTATTAAAAATATAAATACATAGTATAATGCTACATATTAAATTTTCCAAAAAATATTAAGCCTGAATTTAATCGTGTAATCCAGGGTTCGTCAAAGTTGGGTTTAAAATTATAGTTGAAACCCCTAAGCTCGAAAAAAGATTAATCATTTATTGTACATAAAAGACTTGACCAATTCCATTCAAATTCCATATTTCGGTTCATATTTGTCTAAGAAAAATAATATATAACTTAATACTTTACATTTTATATTTTTTAATATTTGACATTTTGACAAAATATGGAACTTTACAAATTTTAATAACCCTGCTCTGTCTAGTGATTTTTCTTGCGAATTTAACACCTCAGTATTATTATTACTTAAGTTAATTATTAATCTTCATAACTAAAAAAGCTTACTAAACTTATAAAATGTGCGCCAACTTCAAAATTATCTTAAAAATAATTATTCTATCGATAAAGATAAGAAATAAAAAAATTAAAATCGACTCGCAATTAGCGCTAATATCGTGTAAAACACACTCGGAATAATTAAAATTGGTTTATAATTGGTTATAATATCACCATTAATTAGACAAATTGATAATTAAATCAGACAAGTTAAATATAGATCGAAACTTAAAGTGATATTTTTAGTTTTCTATTGGCGATATCTATTATAGAAAGTCTTATCTAAGAGCTGCTAATATTTGCTATGTATTTATATTTAAGCAAGCACTATAATAATGGAGCTTAATACACATATATTTTATTTGATTAAATGACTGTACATTTAAATCATTTAGTTTAATTTAGAATTCCTGGCCCGTACTCGTTTCCCTAAACCCAAATTCATTAACTAAACTGAATTATAAACTGATGAATATTACTAAATACTATGAAATAAATTATATCATCTATCTTCTATACATATAATAAAATTCTAAGTGAGTCGAATATGTACATTACATAGTTTTTGGACAATCTCATTGAAATAGTCATTATTATCGATACAGAGGCCGAGTCTATAGTTTTTAGAATTTTTGTCTGTCTGTCTGTCTCTCTGTCTGTCTGAGGACGCATCAAAAAACCACGGGACTTTTGATAAAATTTGATATGATGATAGCTGGTTATCCGGGTCAACAAATAAGATACATTTTACTGCGGGAACATGTCTCATCTCTGAGAAATCTATACTAATCGTTAAAACCTAACAAAGAACGAACCCGAGCAGAGCGAGGGTGAGTTGCTAGTCTGTTTTATATGTACATTAAAAGAATTTGAGAATTTCCTTTTGCTTTTGTTGTCTATCTCGTTGGTTTTCTTTACACAAGCTTCTGCCCACGGCATTACTCGCGTATTTTTATGTATAAGGTAATGTTAGATGAGATAACCTTTGGCAACAAATACCTTTAACATGCGAAGAAAATCTCACTGGTAATCAACAAAAATATTCCGTACAGTTTTATATTAGTATTATATATTATTTTATAAATATTGTGTACAGATTAATGTTTAAACTTTTTTATTTAAAATAAGCGATGAATAACTGGGAAAAATATATTTACTATTGCAAATATACCTGAGTTTGTAGAATTCAATTTATATTTAAAAGCTTTTGTATTTTGTAGTTATACTTCTTTTGGCACGTCTGGGAAAAATGATGAGTACAATTTTTACGATGCGCGCGCACATCGACAGCCAAAATGCGACATGATGAAGTTAACTGCATTCCGTTTACAAACAGAGAGTTGTGACATACGGGATGAAATCTTTAGCTATTTTTGTTCTGTTACGCCAAAGAAGTATAACTTCTAACGTGCGTACATAAGTGCACACACACGTTTTTTTATAACATATCATTTACCTACACTTAAAAATGAGTACTGAATTGGATTTAAAAAAAATTATAGTACAAAACATATTTTATTACCTAACATTAAATATTTACAGATTATAATCTACCCCCTAAAAATATATGATCACAATAACTTAGTATGGTAACATAATATGGTAACTATCAAATTAATTTGGTATTCACAGGTTTTTCTTTGAGGCATCGATTAGCGATGTTTGAAATGATTTATCGATAAGTTTATCGATTTTTTTACTTTGTACATTTATTAGCCAGTTGAAACTGGACCTTAAGACGTATCTGATAAGAGCTATAATCGTAATTATGAGGATAAGGAAAGTGAAAGTGATGTCTAACATATAATACTGTATGAAATTCAGGTCTTTAGCAGGCGATTGTAAGTGATACGCGCCTTTATGGTGTATCACGTACTCCGTCCAATAAATTGCTCTTTCTAAAGGTGATTCTTTTTGATTTCTTAACAATGTTTGTCTATATTTCACTTGGGCTTTGTATTTTGGCTGTATAATTACTTCCTGTATCGCTTGATAGAGTTTATCAGAAGTTAATTGGTATAGGTCTAATTTTTTCGCATATCCATCTACTTCTGCCTTTGCTGCGTTCGCGTCGTGGTCACAAAAAACTGGAATAGTTACAATGGGAACCCCATGGAAAACAGTTTCGAACATGCTGAGAAGACCGCCATGTGTTACGAAAGCTTTAATTTTGGGGTGTCCTGGAAAAAAACAAAAAAAAAAAGTTTTAGGTTTATATTTTTTTTAATATAATATTATTATAGGACAGTAACGTAGACCTTTGTTTAATATAAACGTATATTATGCAGTCAAGGGCTTTATACATGATGTCATTCTACAATTATAAAAAAATAGAAATCCAAAAAGTATATAGAGATAACATATTGTCGAGTTGACGATACGTCAATTGAATACAATTAAAATAAAACTATTCTACAACAATTGTAGAAAAACATTTTGCTTAAACCCGAAGTTTTAAAATTGAAACCAAGATGAGTGAATGTGATCATCGCGGCAAGAATAAAAGACAGCTTGCTTTATAAGCCAATATCGAATCGACACTAAGCCAAAATATAAAGTTTTACCATTTCCTCCCCACAAATTACAATAAACTATAAAGATACTAACATATATGTGTATTTTAGCTTTATTATTAAATAGATTTTGCAAATGTGTACAATTAAATGACTCAACATTTTACATAACTATGCTTAGCGAAATATGTAAATGAAATGGTGTCGATCTCATATCAACAGCATCATGTCATATTTTATGTTAGGTAACATTGTTACAACTCACATGGAGTTGAACGTTTTGTTGTTATTATGCTAGCTCATTCATTACATATGTAAGAAATTAAGATGAAAAACCTGTTCTAACTTGAAATTATTTATTAAAATGACTTCAAATCCAGGTTCTTAGTTCGAATCCCGGGTCGGGCCAAGTAGTTATAGTTATTGGTAACTTTAAAGATGTCTTACGCATTATAACTTATCGGTGGTGTCGAACTAAATGGTGCTGTGTGTTAATGTCCCAACATATTTATTTATTATTATTAACATTTAAAAATCTTACTTATCTAATAACAGTACACGGAAGACATCGCTCATTTTAATAATAAATGTATACTTGAACAGAATGTAGCCAAAAAATACAAAAAAAATCTCACCTAATAAATCTTGTTGCGGAAGCCATTTATATAGTTTTACATTTGATGGTATATCAGTTAGATTTTGTTCACCATCTTGCTTCCATAGCACTCTCTGTGGAAGTTTTTTCAAAGCATCTACAAATATTCTATGCGCCTCAAGAGGCATTTCATTTGTCTTCACAGATGATCCCATGGACACGTAAATGAACCCTGCCTCGCCTGCACCCGATATCCACTCTTCTAAATCCTGTAAAAATGAAGAAAAAAGTTGATGTTACATACATATAGGTATGATAAAACTAGCATTTGCCGTGGTTCTACCCGCGTAGTTTAAAAATAACGGATTATCATACAAACTTCCAAGGCCTTTTTTATACCTTAAGGGATTGTATTTACAAACATCCTTTCTTAGTGGACACCTACTCCCTATGAATCTACCTGCCTTTCAAGATTACAGTGTTTATCCTTTCTAAGATTGAATTATCTGGTTAATTATATAAATTTCTTTAATAATTAACGTAGTTAATATATTTTAAAAGAATAATTTCAAACCGCTATATCTATAGTATTTTTGTTTAATACAAAAATGTATTTTTTTCCTATATCAAGCAATTACATGATTTACGAATATATTTAACTAAATAGGTTATTTGTACTCTTGTACACTAAAAGTTTATCTTTCATCACATGTTTTTGTTGTCTAGATATATCTTAAATATTTGTATATAAGTCTAAACCAATTCTTATATGTAAAGCAGGAATTTTGGTACAATTAAAAGTATATAGTAAAACACTCACAGCATCCAATCTCTTTGATTCTTTGCAATGTATACACGCAACTTCAGCTACATTCGGCATAAAGGCTCTTGGGTATGTTACAGAGTAATGACCATTCTGAAGAATAAAACTAACGTTTCTTGCCAGATCGTACACATGAGGCATTTGTGGCCCAAAATGTCGCCTCAAAACTCCTTGTAATATTGAAACACTGACGCTATGCCCCAATAATGCACCAACATGCCAAAAAGCATTGACTGACCTCTCAAAAAATCCCATATTATCTGTGAAAGAACGCGCAAAGAACGGCATAATAGAGTATGGGGCAGGACTTCCAGAACCACTTGTGGGTGCAGCGTAAAAGGCGACTGTATTTATGTACATAAAAGGCACTTTCATTCGATATACTATGCCCAAAGCACATTCCGGGTATGCTCCGTCTAGAATAATTAGATCGTAACTTTTTCCTGACCGTAAAAACGATCTAATCTCGATATCGTTGAGGAAAGCCTCGCACGCCTGGAAAATAAATTGAAATGTTATTATTTTACAATTTTAATTTTTATATGAAACAGATAAAGATAACATTTTTATTTTCAAACGCTCGCACTCTACATTTAGATAAAACAAGATTACGTAATAGGAAAAGATATTTCATTACAATTTATGCGAAATAGATAAAAAAGGCAGGCAGTGGTGACCCAGCGGTAACGCGCTCGCTTGTGAAATCGACTGAAGCGGGTTCAAATCCCGAGTCTCGCACCTTTGATATTTTCATGTGCGAATCATTTCTAACATGATTACCACTTGCCTTACGGTGAAGGAAAACATCATGAGGAAACCTGCTTGTCTGAGAGAACCTAGCAAGTTTTCGAAAGACATTTAAAGTTCGCCAACCCTTGGCCAGTGTGGTGGGCTTTGGCCTGATTCCCCTCTAATTGCAGGAAGGCCCGTGTCCAACAATAGGATGTTAAAAACAGCCGAATACAGATCAAAAAAGCTATATCGAACAATTCACTAGACAATGCATATCCTACTCTCAATTTTACTCAGTAAAAAAAGAGAGTACTAATGATAGAGATACTATATTTTTATCACCTCATATCCATATCGGATGATGTCCAAATAAGGCAATGGCTCCTCTCCCTTCATCCTCGCACCAACAAGATCGAAGGTCATATATCCTCGTACAAAGGAAGCTAGACCTTCCGGGGTGATTTCTTCTAGACCCTCGAGATGGAAATCCGGAAGATAAGGACTAATTAGTGTAATGTTGTGATCTCTGGAATTATATAGTAAAATAGTTTTAGCTCAAAATAATTACATTCTATGCATGTATAAACAATCATCTATACATATTTTATAATAAAATTCTAACTAAGTCGAATCTGTACATTAAATCTTGCCAAGAAAATCTTATTGAAGTAATCATTATTATCGATACAGAGGCCGAATCTATAGTTTTTAGATTTTTGTCTTCTGTCTGTCTGTCTGTCTGCCTGTCTGCCTGTATGTCTGTCTGTCTGTCTGTCTGTCTGTCTGTCTGGGAATACATCACGAGAACACCACGGGACAGATTTTGATGAAATCTGGTATGATGATAGCTGATTACTTCAGTAAACATATAGGATACTTTTTACTGCGGGAACATATCTCATCTCTGAGAAATCTATACTAAACGTTAAAACGTACCTAGGGACGAACCCGAGCGGAGCGAGGGTGAGTCGCTAATATTAAATAGAATGTGGCAGTAGGTACACTAGGCAGTAAGAGTAATACCTACGCACAGGTCTCATTCCGCTAGGCTTGGGGCAAAATATACGAATATTTTTTCATTAAAATGTAATGGATGAATGACGATATTTTAATTTTACATACGATGTGTTTATTTTTAGAAAATAAAATTACTTAAATATCGCGATATACTTATACCATTTGTTCATATCGATATAATATTTATCGATATTTTTCATATTTACATCTCTACTTTAGTATACAAAATTTAGATTTGAATACATACCTTCTTATTAATTCTCTCGCTAACTCCAAAAAGGGCACTTTGTGGGACTTGGTGCCACCCATCGTGATCATCAGTATATCGCTTCCCCATACTGTCGACGCTAAGAAGATCGGTAGATAGAATATGGGCCACCCAGACCCCTGAAAAAAAATATTAAATATTTACTTTCTGTTTTTCGGGGCAAAGATTGACTTATCAGAATTTCATATTTTAAAGAAAGATAATAAGTAAGATCTGATTATTCTAAAAATTTCTTTCAAAGAGATATCGTTATACTTATCACCTCTTTATAGCTGGAGGTGAGTTAAAATCGTCGCAAATCATTTTAAGCCCGTATTTTATCCATAGTATTGAAAATTATCTATACAAATAAATAAAATTGAAGTTTCTGTTAGTAATGTCATAATACCAGCTTATTACTAAACGCATATGAAATTATATATGGTACATTTTTTTATCTATTTGTCTGTTTGTTCCGCCTAATCTCCGAAACGGCTGAGCTGATTTTGACGAGACTTTCACTGGCAGCTGATGTTCGCCTAGTTTCCGATATTGAATAATCAATACAATAAAATGTAAACAGATAGAAAATATTATTATTACACTATTTTATTTACACTTATTATTCCCTAATTTTCCCAAATCTTCATAAAATTTTAAAAATGCGAAAGTTTGGATAGATGTTTGTTATTACTCAATCCCGCCAGAACGGCTGAACGGATCTGGATGAAATGCGGTACAGAGATTATAGTTTGAAATAGCAGATAGGTTTTTTTATCTCGGAAAAATTGTTTTTGATTGATACAAGATTTGTTTTTGTTTTTCATTAAGGACGAACTAGAGCGAAGCGAGGGTGAGTTGGTGTTGTTAATAGTACCTAATCCCCAAAAAAATCTCATGTAAACAAAGAAATAAATACGTAACTGATTTTTGTTATTATGTAAAAGAATATTTTTGTCGTAAACAGTGGTATTTTACACAGTAAAAATTACTCAGTTTTAAAAGTTTATCGAGGCAGAATTTCATATGAATAGGTATGTACTTTAGCATAGTATTATTGTGGAACTCTAATTCTTTTTCTAAAATAAAAGTTGACTAAGCTACTTCTTATAACATCAGCTATCTGCCAGTAAAAGCCAGAACAAACAGACAGACAAACAAACAAAAATCTTAAAAGTGTGTTTTTCTTCTAAGTACCGTATATAATTTCATATTATGTATTTAGTAAAAGGTTGTTATTGTGACATTACAAACAGACACTTCAATTTTATTTATCTGTATAATCGTAGATAAGTGATGTGACGTTTCTTATGGGTTATAACTATGTTGTTTAATGAATATAGATAATATGTATTTTATGACATCTATCTAATTTCCGTACACGTTGAGACTATGCAGGATAAACTACTATATAATAATATATATAATATCTTTGCATAATACCGTAATAATATGAATATACAAGCAAGCATGTGGCAATAGCAACAGATCGCCATTTCACTGTTTCACTATCGCACGTGATGTAATATATCGAGAATATTCCAAATCTTTTCCTGCTTCTACACTCGACTGATTATATGAGACGTTTGTAACGTATTTGAAATCATAGATCAAGTTTTAAAAAGCCTACCTAACTTTAATCTCTTCGAAATAAAACACAGTATTTCTTACACTTTTAGTTTGCTACTAATAAAAAGTAAAGGTTGTATGCATAAATGAAAATATTTTTATACAATTCTTTAATTTTGTAACTGTGCGTGCTTATAAGAAAATTAAATTAATTAACAAACCAAATTGTTGTTTTTTTTATTATAAGTTAAACATATAAAATCATACTCAAAAATTGTTTAATATTTGCTCGTGGCATATTAGTGTAATGTAAATCCAATTATTAAATTCATCTTGCCGCTGGATAAAGTTCACCTGCTTGCCTCTTTACGATGAAAACTTGCATAAGATATTATCAGGATAATTCAACAAGTGACGAAACAAAATTAATAACTTATGCCACCAGTAATTTCATTTTTATTATTAAATAAGGCTTACCAACTAAAGTACATACACAAACTTAATTACTAAAATAACGTTAATAATTTCTCTTTTGTATATCACTCTAAATTACAGGCATGCACAACATTTTATAACTAGCTAATACATACGCTCTATTTAAATGACAATAACATTAAAAAATAAATGAAATGTAACACTAAATGATATCTTTAAGATTTCTTTTAAAATTGTACATTGTATTTGAAAACATATCTATAACAGTATATTTGCGAGAGATTTCATTATAGTTTATTAAAATTTTGCTTAAAGGTGAGTTTTGTCCGAATCTATTTTGTCTTAAATGAATATAAAAAGGTTGATAATTACTCAATCGTGCGGAAGAGCGCGCAGCTTGTAGTTGTATCTTAGATATTATGTTAGACGAGTCTACACAGTTATTCAATATATTATAAAGAAACATTAACCCAAGAAGTTTTTGGCGCTTTAATAACGAGTCCATGTCAAAGAGATTTACCCTACCCTCGTACGTAATATGTTTTCTGTTTCGTACAGAATTCGTAGTGTAAACAAGTCTAGATGCAACTTTCTTTGAATTTTTTTGCCAAGCTTATAATGCTTTTTACGCGTTCATTGATTACTTTTACAAAATAAGTACAGCATTAAGTAATACAGCGTATTGCAAATATTTTAATGCATATTCTATATTTTAATCCTTATTCTATCCATTAATAATTAATCATAATGTCCATCTAGCGGGTAGCCTATTTGAGTTTCGGCGGCCATCTCACTGAGACAACTGCGTTGGACATACAAATAGTGCCAAAGTGTGTGCTCTCTTTAATCCAGTTACTCTCAGATTTCGGCAAGACGGCAATTCGATTTGACTGATGAGGGATAAGGTGCAACACTGATGGCCTAATGTTCACTCCAAAACACAGATAAACACTCCCAACTTCCAACTCCGGACTGTTTCGAAGACTTTCTTATCCCGGGATTTGAACCCAGGACCGCCAGATCTGCAGCCGTACATCTAGCATATATTAGCCCCTAGGGCCTAGACCGACGAGGTTAACAAGGTTATTATTATTGTAAATGAGAAAGTATATTTGTTGGTGAGTCCTTCTTTTACACAGCGACGTGTTTTTTACATAGAAAGAGTTACTGCGCGATATTTGAAATTCGTGACATGTTAGTATTAAGTGTAGTTTAAGTTTAACGAATATGATTTCTAGTGTACGATACTAAACATTAATGTAAACAGCATATTATTATTAATTTTGTTGTCAATTTATGATATTATAAAACATTCCATAATGTTGTCAAAACATGTAAAAAATATATACAAATACCAAACATCAAAAATCTTTAGCATTCTGTTTTATAATTATACTAGCGTTTTCCTGCGGTTCCGTCCGCATACATTAATCACCAACATATCATATATAAAACCTTCTCCGAAACACGCTGCATCTTATGGTATGAGTATTATTCCGATCGGTTCAGTAGTTGTCGCAGTATAACCGAACAAAAAAAAATAGGTTCTCCATTTATTAGTATAGATATATAGTTTTTATATAATAATCAATCAGTCAAACGATTTTGACGAAATGAGGAAACGGATGTTATTCCAAATAAATTCATGTCATACCTACTCGTAAATGCAGAAATTCATACAGGAACGCTCAAATATTAAGAAATTTTACTACAAGTTTATATCCACTATCCTGTATTATACCCTCCACGACCGCGGACACGCCGGCGTGTCAGTTAACAATAGATTTCTTAGAATTTTAATTAATTTCTTTGAAATTAACCTGGAGGTGTTATAAACGTTGCCTCAGGCATGATTGCGTCAAATAGCCTTTGAATTAAATATAACTAATGTTCCAAATAAAACCTATGTCCGTAAAAAATAATTAGTCGGTTTAGTGGTTTAATAACAAATAACAAAACAGAGAGATGTCGAATTCCTACAAATAATGTTTTTTGTACCTAAGAAATACTATTGTAACTGCACAATAAGTCACTTCACTCGTACTTTTGTGCCGTGGGAAGATGTAGGCTATTCTTACATACGTTAAGTCAGCCCTTCCATGCGTTGAAGCTAGTTTTTAGAAGATATTATACTAAAAGTTTCACGTAGCTCTGCTTGTAATTTTTTAAATATTTTTAAAATTTTCAAAAATCACTTCGCATTTCTTTATAACAATCTAATATTTTGAATGGGTTACGTATTACGTATTCTGGATATCTAAAACCTCTATGACACTGACAGAATATATGCGTCTATATAAATGAGACCTGAAAGCCCTTGCGCTGATAAACCTCCAAAAAATATTAGCTCGTTTAAATACTTACATATGAATATAATTATAAAAATTACGAGATATTAACTAAGAAGGTACCGATATCAAAAACCCTTCAATAGTAATTATTCTACCATTAGAAGTACTTTTTTTATTATATTTTTTTATATTAAACCCTTGAGCTTAACGCTATTTATACAAAAACGAATTATTTAAATCACTTCGCATTTAGAGAAGAAATTGCGTAACAAAAAAACCTACGCCTAAAATGCTCCTAGTATTACACGTTGGTCAATAACTGGTTATAGCTAGGTTTCTTGCTTGGTTTACACTTTTACCAGATCCAATATGTAATTTAGTATTTGTTTAACAATACTAATATCCCACCATATGATATAATAGGATTAAAAATCATGTCATATTCTTTTACGTATCATTACGTGATCCATCATATACCCAATCGCTGTAGACTGTTCTAAATACATACTGTTATAAATAATATAAATCAAAAAACTCATTTCTACTTTTGTAATATTAACCATGTATATTCTTGTTTTTTATGTATGTATGTGTATACATACGTACGTCAAAAACAAGAAAATTAATAGTTTTATATCCAAACTAGACCAAGTTGCGAAATATGCAAGTTAGTAGGGTCATTTCTAACCTCTTGAAAGTCAGCAGTACACTCATCGCTATATTGAAGGCCTTGAAATTGCTTACGCGTTCTACGACGTGGCTTATACTGTTTACATTAAGTACATCAATAATCGAAAGCCTGAGATGCTTAAAATATTAAAAAAAAGTTTAATATATACTTATATAAATAAACGAAATAAATGTACAATCACGAGCATAAAACTAATATCCATAGACAGTGGACTGTTTCTTTGCCAGCCGTGAGCTTAAAATGGCGGAAAGGTGTGACAGAGACAAAACGAAAGTGCGGCCAGAAGTCTTCTGTATTAATTGAAATACGATGAAGATAGACATTTACAGCCTTTTTTTCTATCACACTGTTATAATTTTTTTACATTCCATTTATAAATTCAAATTGGAATAAAAGACAGGTACCTATTGGCCGCACGTTCGCTTCTCTCTTTCTAGAGAGTGATCAATTTCATGAGGGTATGCCTCAGTCCATTCTCTACTCGTATATCTATGATAATAATATCTGGCATTCATTATTATCTATTCTCACGATGTCAGAAAACATATACGACATAAAACGAACAACAAAACTATCTGACTGAACAATCAGACACGCGATACAAACATATAAGATACCACATCGGCTTCAAAAACATCTAAATATGCATAAATGTAGGAAATATCTTGCGTTTTTAATATTTGTACACATAATAATGACTGTACAAGTCATTTCTGTATGGTATTGTCGCAAGTATGCTAACTGCGTTCCCCTGTTAAATCGCAATGCCTATTCTTTGGGCGATAACGAGCAAGCCTTCTTGTTACCGGTAGAGGCGATAAGACGAGGTACTTATCTAATCTATGATCAGGCCATCAGTGCAAGAGTGGCCTAACTCACCATTTTTTATAAATAGTTGTTAGATGGTGTCTAAAACAAATTTAGTTCAAAAGAAAATAAGCTTTTTAGATTATTTTAAGCAAAAAGACCTTTGGGACTCAAAATATTACTAAATAAAAAACGAAAAATAAGTCTTACATTTTATGAAAATATTTAACAGCCATTATTAAAGTAACTGTCAAGTGTCAATAACTTAGGCTACTTTTACGCTGACAGCTTCATATATCTTTTAAGAATTTTTCAACACTGACTTCATGGGGCTCTGAATAGCATTTGAATAGTACTGCTAATTGTACACGTGAGATGTTTTGTGTTATTGTCTTGTTAAGAATTGGTATTGTAGCACCATCTATACCTACATACAATAAAATTATAATAAGCCGAATCTGTACATTAAATATTTTTTGGAAAAGCTTATTGAAATAGACATTATAAACGATACAGAGGCCAAATCTATAGTTTTTAGAATTTTTGTCTGTCTGTCTGTCACCGCATCACATAAAAACCACAGGAGGTATTTTGATGAAATTTGGTATGATGATAGCTGGTTATCCGGGTCAACATATAGGATACTTTTTACCGCGGGAAAATATCTCATTTCTGAGAAAAAATACAAAAACTGCATAGTAAGAGTATACTAATATGTAAAACCAAAGAATTTGGTTTTTGGTCATCTGGCGGAGCCGCGGGCAATGCTAGTTAATTAATATTTTTAAATTATCTTATTTAAGAGTTACAATGTTATTATTTGGCAGTTTAAAAATAAAGGTAAAACCTTAAAAATTATGTCACTTGCAGATACACTATAAAGCTGTCAGCATCTCAGTAGTAACATTACTATGCACGTATTGCGTGTGATTGATTTTGTCGCTTCTCTCGTATATTATACGACTTCAAAAGGAGGGTAATGTGTTTTGCACGTTTGTTCATTTTTAACGAGATCACACCTCTAGAAATATAACCTAGAAACTAACAATGTTTTACTACATCTGTTATTACTGGAAGTAACAATAAACGCAGTAAACTACAGTAAAGTATTATAATTAACATTGACCTGTAGAGCTACCCACGTATTGTAAAAATAGCGCATTTAAAAACAAATTCCAACTCCTTTTTTTTAATGTTCGGAAATGTATTTACGCATACCACCCGTAGACATACGGTGGTTATGTGAGACTCACCGGGTAGAAAAGCCAGTATTACCCACTAAAACACAACAAAACCTCCCTCGTCTTCATTATGCGTCGCAGGATCCCTTATGCACTCAATTAGGACGCCCCGACGGTTCATATGAGTAATCCACCAACCAAATTTCAAGTCAGTAGAAGTTTTTGTTCGATAATCAGTGTAACAATCGTATTAAGATTCTCTCTCTCTCTCTCTCTCTCTCTCTCTCTCTCTCTCATATATATATATATATATAGAGAGAGAGAGAGAGAGAGAGAGAGAGAATATATATATATATATATATATATATATATATATATATATATATATATATATATATATATATATATATAATATTGCTTTCCAATACAAACTTTCACCCCCTTAAGGGATGATTTCCGGGATAAAAAGTAACCTATGTCCTTTCCAGGGTCTCAAACTATCTTTTTATCAAATTTCATCTAAATCGGTTCGGTAGATTCAGAGATTACCCCCTACAACGTCACAAACTCACAAACTTTACCTCTTTATAATATTAGTATAGATAAACATTGATAACAATAATAATAATGACAATGAACCCTTTTAACATCCCGAAAATTAGGTTATCTCACATTATTTGTTCCTTTATAATATTAATGATTCTAATTAGATTCTACGAATTCTTTTACGTAATTTTTAAAACATTTATTGTTATAATAAATGTATTTATTTTCACGAAATTTGTTTGTTTGCCCCCGTTACGCGCCGCAAATCGCAATGAAGCAATAATATATTTTTTTCCGTAGAGTGTTAAATCCAGAGAATACCTAGATAACCTAAGTCACACAGCTTATTTTTAGGTAATATAACATTACAAAATATTACTAAAATGACGTGTGGGCTTAAATAAGGACTTAAGAGAAGAACAGGTAGCTCAATAGTAGTCTTTTCCAAGATTGTGCCATGTTACAGTTGCATTATATGTAAAGACTAGCGAATCACCCTCGCTTTGCTCGGATTCGTCCCTAAGTGATAATTTTTTTTATTTATGAACCTACTGAAATAAAACAAATACTAAATGTTGAGTGAAACTTACCACAATACATTAGTGAAAACCGCACCCAAATCGGTTAAGCCGTTTCTGATATTAGCGCACACAAACGTACAGACAAACAGACAAAAAATCTAAAAATCATTGTTTTGGGTTGTATTACGTTAATAAAGACCCCTAACAAATAGTATTTCTCAAATATTTTCCATGTACAGACAGCGATCATTTATACTTTTATTATATATACATATATGTAGATTATTTAATTAACTCTATAATAAAATAAATTATCGTGGCATATATATCTACACGGATGTATTCTTATTAATTATGATATATATAGCATAGTTGTTCAAATAACTGAGATGACACACAAACACACTTTGTAGTCTGGCGTAATGCTCGGCCCTTGGATAATATCTATTTCTTCATATTATTTGTTAATAGTATTACATACATATTTACTTTAAAGCCATTGCTAAAGAAGTATACAGATTCAAAAAAACATTTTAAAATTACCTAACCGTTCCACCATGAGTATGGCGACGTTTTTTAAAATATCTAAAACGTAGCCTGTAATTCAAAATAAATCATGAAAATCGTTCTCAATTGCCGGAGATAAAGCGTAATCCATAGAAAAACTTATGTACCTAGTATATCCAATTTGAATACCCACTTTTTAAAGCGAGTTGATAGAGACAGATTGCTTTAATGAAATAGGAATTCAAGCAAATGTTTTGTTTATGAACACTCAAACTGTTGTAAAAACAATATAGAAATAAAGTTTTTCCCGCTGGACACTGGACTCGAACTTACGATCTCGACTTGAATTTTCCACATCTCTAAATCGTTTAAATAAACTACTATCAAAATTTCTATCTAATGGTAACAAAAAAAGAATAAAGAACATAAATTTTGCTTTATTTAATAGTAAAAATGAAATATACGTAACTATAAATAACTCGTAGTTTACGGTAAGAATTGGAATTACATATATTTTTTCGATCAAACTTGTTTAGTCTATTTTCCCTTACTGTAATATATGTATTTATTCTTAGTCTCTTATGACCAACTTAAAGCCATAACTTATATAAAAAAATCTATTTTTTATAAATGTATATTAAAGTTATTATTATCAATACATATAATAAATTTGTAACTAAGAAATCTATTGTTAACTGTAACGCCGGCGTGTCCGCGGTCGTGGAGGGATTAAAATTGTCAACATTATAACAATATGATACTTTCTTAGATTTACGCAAATATAACATAATATCTTACATAAAATTATTTTTTCTTTTTTTTCACGCTATTATTTTTATTGATGTCTCAGAAGGGAAAGATTATGCAGTGACGTAAACTTTATAAAAATAGAACTGCAAACAAATGAAAAAAGAATAGTTGATATATTTTAAATACTATATCAACGTTTTTTTAAGGCAGTGGTAGCCCAGTGGTAACCCAGTGGTAACGCGCTCGCTTGGGAAACCGAGTGATGCGGGTTCAAATTCCGGGTCTCGCACCTCTGATATTTTCATGTGCGAATCATTTCTAACATGATTACCACTTGCCTTACGGTGAAGAAAAACATCGTGAGGAAACCTGCATGTCTGAGAGAACCTAGCAAGTTTTCGAAAGACACGTGAAGTCCGCCAACCCGCACTTGGCCAGCGTGGTGGACTATGGCCTGATCCCCCTCATATCGAAAGGAGGCCCGTGCCCAGCAGTGGGACGTCAAAAAAAAGGGGCTGAATACAATCAACCTTTTAACGTTGTTCTTTATTTGTAGTGGAAAAATATGCTTTTGAGCTTATTTCTCCACTACAAATAAAGAATTTGTCTACAAGTTATAATGGCTTATTATTAACCCAATAAAATAGTAAAAAGCAGATATATCCCCATAGCAGTTATTTTTTATAAGTATTCTGTTATAATGCTGCAAAATAGCTTTGTATTAATTGCATTAATAGTTTTATTTAGAAAATCCATGAATAATATTTTAATATAGATCCGTATGTAAATAAATAACAGTAAATACATAAGTAATAGAGGTGCGAAGTCAAAAAAAATATATAATAAATAAGCTTTAGCTATCTGAAAAAATATTACTACGCCACTTCTAATTTAGTTTAAATTATAAAATACTAGCAGAACCCGCGGCTTCGCTCGGACTAAAACTACAAAAAAAACTATAAAAAGGTAGGTTTCGTACAAATTTTCACCCCCTATTTTACCCCTTTATGGGATGAATTTCAAAAAATTCTGATTCGACTCTGTTTCGACGTGAAAAAAGGATAAACAACCATACAAACACACTTTCACATTTATAATATTAATGGATTATCTCAATTTCATAGTTCGTCGTTAAGACTGCCTTTCAATCTTTACACTCATATCTGTTTGTCCGAAACTATTGGGCCGATTTAAATGAAATTTGTATGGTCGTACCTTACATCCCCGGTCAACATGAAAGATACTTTTATTTCCGGAAAATTAAAGAGTTCCCGTGGGATAGTTAAAAAACTATAGTAACTTATACAGCTTAGTACACAACAACTTATGCACCTAATTTAGTAAAATTTGGCATGCTGATACCTTATATTGCCAGTCAAACAACAAGTTACTTTTCATCCCGGAAAAATGAACGGTTCCCGTTCCGTAGGGAACTAATAGATTTCTATTAATGTTTTTGTAGAGGCGAATCCGAGCGAAGCGAGGGTGAGCAGCTAGTAATATATAAGCGCGTAATATGTAGCAGAACATATTATCTGTATGTAATACAAACTTTTCCATAGAACATTAT